TAAAGTCTTTAAAAGTAGGGCTTTCACTCACGTGACGCAACAAGTGGAATGGAGGCGGAAAGAGCAGCTAAACAGGTACTTCCTTCAATGTACATAAAGATGATGATTGAAAACGAAGGAAAAAAACGACTGTAAAGGACCATTCAGCAATTCTACCGATATTCACGCCATAGGGTGCACGTAAAACAGGGGGGTCAAAGGTAAATAGATGGAAAATGAGCACAACTCCGACCCAACCCGCCAACTGTAGAGCAGCTACAGCTGCAGGAAAAATTTCCTGATACAAAACAAAAGAACTATTTTACAAACATTTCTTATAGTGCAAGAAATAGGCAAGAGGTAAATTGACATTTTTTGCAAGCAAAAACTGCAGAGAGCGATTTTTGAATCATCGCGTTTCCAAATGCATTCTACGATGTATCAGCTAAACTAAATCAAGCCTGGAGCCCGTCTCACAACTGCGGGCTTACTGTTCTGCATTTCGTCGTCGTTATACAGCCCTAGTGAGGAGGACTCAAGGGTTTGCTCCACCAGTACTCTCCATGTGGTTGCCAATAGTAGAAGGCCATCTAGAGATTTATAGACCTTTGCAAATGAACTATCACTCTGAACCTTGTCGCTCCCATTTCGGTTGCTCTCGAAGGAGAACCACGGCTCATATGCCTTTGTGGACTGAAGAGCCACCAAACTGAGAAACGCGATCAGTTTGGTTTCAAAAATAAACACTTCTCCCTCCATTTCGATGACTCCTAAGCTTCATTAATCACCCAAAAACCTGGAGCGGTGAAGGCAGTACAAGGTTTTGTCTATCCAGTAGACACATGATCATCCGCGAATGAGACCTCATTACGCTGTCAAACTTCTGAGGTCCATGACAGATGGCTTTAAGCTCCGCAGTAGTCATTGGCGCCGTCTTCAAAAAGTGTGAAAGTAGCGTAGCCTGACGACTATTTCTTTTTCTCTTCTGCATTCCCGAAAGGAGTCGTATACAGAACCCAAATTACAATTGAGAATTATGTGAGGGTTGCGACTTAATGCAGGTAAAAAAATTTGGTAA